CTTACTGAAGCACATATTATCCCTATCCCTCTCTATTGGTCTCTGCCTACTCACAGGAATCCTCTCAGGATCCCTCACCCTGTACCCATCTTCCTCTACCACTCTCTTCACTACTTCAGTATTTGACACTTACTGTACTACTCTGACCCTGGCAACCTCCACCTGCCTTTCTCTCACCGGACACCTCCGATCTGCTGCCCCATGGGCACCCCCACAGCTAACACACAACTTGCTCCACCGATACTACACATTCCTTTGACTCATGTCCTCCTGCACACTTCTCACATCTAGGAATCTCCATCCTACACACGGCTGCAACATGACCATAAGCTTGGCACCTAATATACTGTAGTATTTTCGGAATAAAAGCTCTCACGGGATACCTAACACATCCTAACTTGACCTTGTTCACCACACTCTCCATTGGGCCTGCGTTGCACCAGACGACGGGCATCACATACACCAGGAATCTTCAATTTCAGCTGATCCTCCTCAACACTTAATGCCACCCCTGTTATCACTCCTTTCAACAACACCCTGCTCCGAAGAGCAAAGCAAGTCATAGTTCTTGTCCCTAGTCGCGTGGTCCGGAGCACCCGCTCCCTCTGGACGGAAAAAACACAATAAATCATCACAAGTCCACTACGAGTTACTTTCACCAACTCAACAGTCCCCAACCTCTTCTCCACCAGATCTGACACCACATATGGATCAGCCAGAATAGAGAATCAGCCTCTTTTTGCACTTGACGCCAACCTTCCTCACCACACCGCTTCCCGACTACACTCAGCTCCTTTTCGGTGGTCACCACTGCACCTGCCATCGCATTTAATACATCCTCACTCTCGTCACGCTCAATTTCCTTCTGTAGCTCTTCCAAAAGTTATGTGTGAACCTCTACTCCATATTCACTCAAAACATGTTCCACTTTTCTCATTTTTTTCTTGTCCGGCATCTTCTTCTTCATCAGATCTTCCAGAAGGCTTGTGAAATCCCCCACTCCATATTTACTCATAAGATGTTCCACTTTCCTCCTTTTCTTCCTGTCCATCATCTTACAGCAACAAAGTCATTTGGTTCACACCAATACGTCACTCACACCTGTGCGCAAGCACTCCTTGTTAATCCTGCTGCCTCTAGGGATGGGAAATGGACTCTAGTGGAAGTGAGATGTACATCTATGGCCTAACCACTTCCCTATATGTATTATTAACAATACAGGCCATTCTTCAGCTGACATGACATGATAATGCAACTTATGAAACCTGAGGTGCGTTCAGTTCGCTTGAACGTTTGTACTGAAGGACACGTTTCCCCAAAATGTTATTGTAAATTCTTGAACAGACTTCGAGGTACGTTTGCTCTCTTTTGGGGGGTGTGGCGAGGTGTGGCATGAAGCAATGAGTAACGTATTTAAAGGGATGTGGCCATGCTGACAGCGCTCCCCAACCTCCCTGTTTTTCAACTGGTCGTTCAGTACAGCACCGTTACCGTTCAATTGAACGTTCCAGAACGTAAAAACTTATTGAACGCAGCCCTGGCCATGACAAGCTTGGTATAGTGTGTCTAGAATTACAATTTAAATTGTCTCCCTTGTTCCTTCCCTCCAATTTCCAACGGTGGTCATTGGTAGATGTACAGTTGAGGCCCAGGTTTCAGCTGATGTGTCAGTGACAGAGTTAATTGCACTATGAAAATTCATTATGGCATGATGAGGCCATATTTTTTGGGGGGCAGGAGAACTATGGATTTCATTAATGACACTGCCAACGAGAGGAAAAATGGCCTCATCAGTCTTTTAAAGTCAATGTGAGATGGAGGGAAAAAAAGTGAGACCATGGTGCATAACACAGACATTTTTTAATAGAATTCATTTATAACAAATGGAACTTGTGTCAGCAAATAACTGATTTTCTTTCGTCACCAATGTAACCTAAGTAAGAAAATAAAAAGCACTCCTTTCATTCAGAAAAAAAAAAACAGTTTACGCTTACAACTAACCAGAGGTAATTGTATGATTCTTTTAACAAGCCATTTTTTTGTTTACAATTTCATTAATTAATTTCAGTCTATGCATCCAGACGAGAGATAGATAGAGAGCAGAGAGAACACAACGTTTATTTCTGTAATGACACTCCAAGCTTGAATGGTGAAGCCACGTTAGTTAATAACAGATGGTTGGGACAAATTTAGGAAAGTCGTCTTCTGGAGTAATCATGGCACCAGAATGGATGCTCTTTTTGCCACAAACTTTTTTTTTTGTCTTTTTCAAAGTTGATACCTTTTTTGTGTTATTTACATACACACAATGTGAACGTTGAAGGAAATTCTTACAGATGGGTTCAAGTAATATATTATTGGGTTCAGAATCAATAGGGCAGTGCATAGTACAAAGATATAGAAAGTGCAATTCTTCCTACTAGGCCAGCTGCAGCCATTCTGCAATGTTTCACCATGCATAATGGAAATCAAAAGATCAAGATGGGAAAAACTAAATTCATGTTGTGGATCAATTAATGTACAAATACTGCTGAACTAAGTACATAAAATGTGGCATCGAGGTTAAATAATAAAATCACTTGTATACTGTTTTATATATATATATATATATATATATATATATATATATAAAAGCAACTAATCCAAAAAACTAAACAATTTAGCTGCTTGAAATAAAAAGGGAAAGAAAGCACCTGGAATGCACATCCACAAAGCCATCAAAGAGAGCGAGGGCCAAATAAAAGAGGGGTCCAAAATATGTTGTGTCCTCAACCCAAAAACCATAGTTTACTGTAGAAGTAAGTCTTCCACGATAGCAGACGTAGTAACACACAATTAAGGATTGTCAGAGTTGTAACACTAACCTGTTCCAACAGTATGTATCTTTCTGCAACTGTTTATAATTGCAAATACATGTATCAGTTGAATACTTTCAAGCCTATAGCATAGTGAAGGGATCCTTTGGCTGAGTGTCTATACACTTTGTCAATACAACGAGTGTCAAACATGCGGCCCTATATGAACAGTCAATAAAAGCTAATTGACTTCGCAAATATTCTCATGGTCTTTGTTGACAACAGGCATGTGGCATTGACTCCTTAATAGACCTAATAGTCCTAGTTTGTTTAAAATGCACATTGACTTTCTGTGAAGGTATCAGTGAACGACATGGGAGTCTTCAATGTTTTATTATTTTTACTAAGCCACAATAAGGCAACAGAAAATGAAAAAAGGAGCCTTGCCATGTACGTATTTGCATATATAATTTCATATTATGTGATAAATGAATACTTAAGGTAAAAATGTAATATACAGTTACATGTACTATATGCATGGACTACTCAAAGAATACAATAATGTGTTAAATGAACGTTATAAAAAACAGGTATAAATATAAGGCACTCTAAATGCTAAATGATGAAAGTTATGTCTTTGTACCTTGCCCTATTGTATGGAGCAATGACTTAGTCTAAGGGACCCCCTCCTCTTCTATAGAACTACAGACTGTATGAGTGTATCTCACCATGGGAACAACAATGTCATGATGACTAACAAAGTATCCACATGAACCCTATCTATAATACACCTATTTATTGCACAATAAAATATGCACTTAATCAGAATGCGTTTTGTCCTACTGATGTGCATTCCAGTGAAAAATATCTTAATTCCCCAAAGTATAGAAATCTAATTGTGGAAGCTTTCATATACAATCCTTTCGTTTTATATATAGCCATAGATTAGGTATTTTATTTCAATATACATATGTTATAGGTTATGCAATTGTATTATTCATATATAATTCATATATAATTTATATATCTCTCATCTTATATACCATAAATATGTATATATCATATCATGTATTTTATCCATCAGGTGCTCATCTTTTACCATCATTCTAACATGGAAGAACTAAGATAATCGGTAGCAGCAACTTCATACTTTGCTCATCCCTGTTGATTCCACGAAGCCCCAGTTTATCGCATGGGTGTAAGTAGGTTATTGTGTATGTGATCATGGAAAAATAAGACAAAACTAAAAATCCTGTAACAAAGTCGACATTTGGTAGTGTGAATACAGGACTGCACAAAGTGCAAAAAAAATACAAGAAAAAATAAAGAGCAAGATACCGAAAAGAGCAAAGACTTTCTCTGCATGACGGTACATACATTAGAACAGTTCTACAGCTTAAAAAAATACAACTCGGAAGAACAAAATGAACGATTACGCAAATACTTTGTTTAAATCACTTTGTCGAGTGATGCGTTTAGTTAAAAAAAGGAAATCAAATTTCACACGGTTCAAAATGAAACACATATCAGCTGTATAGTAAAGTACTAAAAAACGAAATCAATAGGTTTTATTTTCATATCTTTAAACATTCCCCCTTCCCCCCAATTATTTAAATGATGAACGTTGTGACAGGAAACGGGGTATATTATTAATTATTACTTTAGCTGTGTCCTGTTTTTCATATTGGACCAAGCACTGGTGTCTTCTTTTTTGATGGGTAGATGTCTCTGTGTAGTTTGATTGTGGAACAGAAATGTCTCTTTACAATGTGCATCGAGTTTTAAGCCATTCTCTGTGCCTCCATTTGCCTCTCCTATGGTTTGTAATATGATGTATTACTTGTCAATGTAATAGTACGTTGTGTTATTTTTTTGTTTATGTTTCTTTCAATTATTTGAACCCAAGACGAATCCTTGAAGCAACAGAAGAAAAAAAATATTCCATAAGATGCTTCAACAGTCAGGATTCCCTCTCTCTTTCCCGTGTCAGGGTGAGTTCCATGGGTTCTAGGAAACACTTGGTCCTCCAGGAATCATCTTTATTAATTTTTTGACATTTTTGTGTCTCACATCCAACACTTAATTGAGTCTTTAGCTAAGAGTTAAGAAGTACTTTCTCAAGCAGGAAATTATGGCTCAGAAAAGAGGCTCGCTGGGGTTGTCCAAGGGCCTTCTGCTTTTCCTCCGGGACAGGGACTCTTACGTAGCATAGTGGTCAAAGCTCCCAAGGTATTCCAAGCCAGCTCTGTAACAGAACTGGTATTGATCCTGAGGAGAAAGGAGAGAAAGAAAATTAGACCTGTCACTATTTTCCAACCAGGTATTATTTCTTTCTTTCTCTGTCTAGCACTCTTTCTTTTTTGTCTCTCCATATGGATGATCTTTAGTTTCACTGGCCATCATTCTCTTTTTCTCTGTCTGCCACTGTCACATTTTCATTTGCTGCTGCTCTGAAATGTGATAAATAAGCTTAGAAAGAAACTTCCTTGATTCACCACAGAGTAAAAGATTCCTGCTTTTACATTTTACATTTTAGTCATTTAGCAGACGCTCTTATCCAGAGCAAATTCCACCCAAAAACTATATTTTGGTATTTGTTTCATTAGTCCATTGTTGACATACAGTAGTCCCATAATGTTTTGGTTGTCAGCAATCAAGTTTTCAAGATATGTAACTTTCAAAATACAGAAATCATCCCTGTATGATGCATTTTGCATCATATGATGCTGCGTTTTGCTACCTGCCTAATAGTTAACAATATATAGTGTGGCAGCTAGGTAGGTAGGTTATGTATCATGCTCGGTTGACCTCCATAAGGTGAGAGGTGTGGAGAGTACAGTTACAGGGCATCTCACCTCTGTCTGCACCATGGCTGGTCTCTGTGTCCGGAGCATTTTCACCGTCTGGAAAATATCCACCACGCCCTCATACCTCATCCGCTCTAATACGATGCTGAGGGTGATGAAGACTCCGGTCCTACCCACGCCCGCACTGCGAGAAAGATGATCAGACACTAAATAAACAGTCTGAGAACCTCCAAGCTGTTGACAACATGACCAGACAAAACCACACATGACCAGACAAAACCACACATGACCAGACAAAACAATGCAGTCAAGACTAGACTGTTATTATTTGTCTTTGTTCTCTAGACTGTTTATATTTATTTTTCCTACCTGCAATGATATGTCAGAGGACTCTGCTGTGGGGTGTCTGGGAGCTAATTTAATGTCTGGATAGATATTTGATCTTATCTTTTATCCTGGTAGGATCAAAGTAAAGCATCACTATTTCCATTGCAAGTCAAGCTAAATCTTTTAAATACCATTAAACCTTGTGGTCTTTTATTGTACTTGCTTACCATACTGTCTGTGTATGACATAAAACTCCATTGAACATAAAATATTATCCTTACCTACAATGGACTGAGATAGGCCCATCTTGCCCAAACTGTTCTTTTGTTTTATGCACTTGGCCGATAAAATCGATGAAGCCCTCTCCCGATTTTGGCACTCCTTGCTCGGGCCAGTCTGTAAACTGAAACTGCCTTACCGTCCGTGACTGTCCATCCTGGAAAAATAGGGAGAGAGAATACAGTGTGCTCACTTGAATGGAACGTCGCGCCAAGATATGGAAAAACGACAAAGTGCAAGTGATGAAGTCAAGGCAACCCGTCTAATGCACTTGACAAACAGGCCAAGTCGGAAGATAGTGAAGGAAAAAAAAGGAAAACTGACTATCTCAATATGCCTCAGTAATGACACAGGCTCTTGTGTGCTTTTCTATTGAAGATCCCAGTCGTTAGCATATCAGGGTGCACAGAGGCACACAGTTTTAAGCACCAGACAGGCGTTTGTTACTAAAGATATCTGTCATTTTCACCTGAATGTATTAATATATGAATACTAAAGACACTAAGTCCTTTGATGTGCCTGCGTTCGGTAGGCTCTTGAAATGCCGTCTTTGAGGGTGTGCATTACTTAAGTGATATTGTATCCCCTTGATAAGGGGAAGTAATCCTATTCAGGTCCCAGTGTAACACACACTACAAAGGAGAAGCCTGCACCATTTATCTGTGTAAGCCTTTGATGGAATTAAAAACTCCCAGCGGCTCAAGGCTGCCAGGAGCAGTATTTGTTTTTACACCATTGACACATGTCATAATTCCCTCAAATATATTTCAGCATATATTCATTTTAAATCATCAAGTTTGGTATGAACAGCATATTTGATCTGGGGCCTATATGTTGGCTTGAAGAAAAAAACGGTCAGTAGGAGTCGGCCAACTGACGCTGTAAACAATTTCAGTCTAAGTCTCAATCTGAACCATTAAAATCAAATGGCTCAAAAAATTGTAATGGGTGCCGCTAGTTGTGTCTCTGTTTCTATCATCAAACAGACACAGTTGTTTAAAGACAAAGACTTCAAAGTAGACAGATTTATCCGTTTGACCAAACTCCACAATGTAAACAACGAAACTGATATATTTGGACAAAAACTACAAAGTCTGGAACGCTTTCTAGCACTGTCAAATCTCAATGACTGTTTAGACAGTAAAGGAGGGCTGTATTACAGTACAGTACTTACCCTGGCGTCAGTCACTTTGAACTCTCTCAGGATGTACTGTGGCATGTTGTACTCAGCCATGGGGTCCACCACAAAGTACTGGTATCTGGCCGACCTCTCTGCTGGCCAATACTGGTGGCATTTTTCCTGCAGCGGAGGAAAAACAACAGAAACAAACTTTCAGTGTACTTTGTACGGTACACTGAAATTCCAGCAGAGTGCCTGGATATCTTACAGATTGTGGTTGTACATGCTGTTTACGATGTGTCATTGTTGGTCTGAATTCAATTTATTTTGCATAGTTCAAGAACTACATAGAATAGAGTAGTTGAAGTAGCACAATTGTTATATGTATTGTTAAAGAAGCAGCAACATTTGATTAGCACAGAGACAACATCATTTTGCATAACATACTCTGCCCATTTCTCTGAGCTTTGTTAGCATGACCACGATGGTGGAGTTGTGCTCCCAGAGCATCCTCCAGAAGTCCTCCGTGGTCTCCGCTAGAGGCCCTTGAGTGGCAATATAGGCTTTCTGTTGCCTGTGGACATAAAACAATATGCTCTCTTGAATAACACATGGTAAAAGTGGACTACCATTTGAGTCCCTTATTCAACTATCTTGGTCGACAGAGTTGAAAGCTCACCTGTATCCATCAATGAAACTGGCATTGATGTAGTCGGAGCCCTCCACCCCTCGGATTGGCTGAAGACACACTCGTGTGGACTCGTATGGCATTATGTTCACAAGGCGGTTCTTGAACTTGTTGCAGGGGAGATTGGCACTGATGAATCGCGACGTATGGGCTTTAGTGTTGGCTAAACGCTAGAGAGAGGGAGATAAGAAGCACTGCGGTTAGGTCACTGCTGGCAAACGCTGCTGTCTTCCTTTTATTTCCCTAGTGCCTGGCTTGTGGTTGACATAAAAAACAGGGGGTTTGTCTAATATAAAGACGTAAACGTTATTAATAATCACATGCTACCAAAGTGAGGGGAGGCCTTAGGAGGATTATGTGTTCTCGGCTGCCAAAAATTCTGAACAGAAAAAGGCTACGCTGTTTACTGCATCTACAGTACTTACATATTTAATGTTAACATTAAGTATGTAAGGGGAACCTAGTGGATTATTGTTGCTGCTCAGGTTTGCAGTGCGGGGCACAAAATTGCATTTTGTGATGAACATGAAAATGGATGCTGCGGCAAGCCCGACGTGGACAGGGCAACGGGTAATCTAACCTGTTTCACATCTCTTAGGGGTATCATCATTCATCATTGGCCAAGGGAAGTAGGTGTGTGACAAGCAAGGCAAACAAGCTTTACATACAGCACATATAACACACTGCAGACTGGCTGACTATGACGGGTGGGTGGGTTGGTAGTGGAGCCTGCTCATTGTAAATGCAGGGTGTATGTTCTAAGCCCCCTCTGGCAACTGTCCTAGTCATGGGGGAAAACCGGTGTTTGACATTTTGCTGTAAAACTACCCCTCTTATAACCATAAGGGTGGAACGGAAAGGGGAAAGGGGTAACCAAAGGGGGGGATTTAGTCGGGTTACAATAGGAAGGCTAACTAACTGGAATGGGGGAAACCACAGGCCCCACGCTGTCTCGCTGGGCTAATGGGAATTGGAAAAGTGTCTGTGAGTGGTGGTACTGAGATTGGCCAATCAATGGCGCCAGGTCCAGGATGTGACTTGGAGCTGGGGGAGGGGAGGATGGGGGGCGAGAGGGCTGGGGTTTTTACATAAAAAATATCTAACCACCCTCTAACTTTCGGTAAATACAATATATTTAAGTTTTCTGTAAAACCTCACATGGGAACAGACCAAATTGGACATAAAAAGGGACTAGTGCTTGCTAGTACGTTTTTTTCCTTCTTCTTTTCTTTATGTAGCCAGTTCCTCTTTTGTCTGCATGGGCCTTTGGAACAAAAGCAGGATATGAGCTGGAGCACATTGCTCTTTGGTTAGCATCCAGTCCAATGTCTTTATGTTGGCTGTTTGTCTGTAGCGTGTAATGCTGCTTTATCAGTTTAGCTATTCCTTTTACAATATATTTTTGCAATAAATTGAATGCATACTCATGTAAGCTACTTTTACAACTAGCTTGCGCTGAACTGAATTATTTCCCCTTGAAAATAATTGTAATTTCTGTGTGGATTCTTCCAATTATCGACAAAGAATTTGAAATTAACTTCCATGCCAATAATACAGCACGGACCGGCTTACCTTGAACTCCAGTTCCATGCCTGAGACGTTCTCTCCACCCTCGATCCCAGTCAGCTTCTGGATGTAGGCGTAGAGGTTTCGGGCGGGCACTTCGGTGGTGCCGCAAGTGATGGCCTCCTGGAGCGCATCGTGGATGAACACGTACTGGTCCTCCGTCTGCACCATGTAGTTCCGCTGGGCGCGCATCAGCGTCACGTGGCCGTAGATGTCCACCGTCTTCTCGTGCTTGATGCGCTCCATCATGGCGTCGATCACGATGAAGCAGCCCGTGCGGCCCACCCCGGCACTAAAGACAAAACAAAGATGGCAAACTTGAAATTGGCCCCCTTAAGAGACACAATAGCCTGTGTGCAGCATTGTGGCACCCAAACACACACGGAACAGAGGAAGGGAAACGATCAGTGCTGTGAGGTTGACTTGCTACTGACTCGTTTTGGCAATTGATGACTTCAGCTAAATGTTTTAGTGGCTCATCCATCTTGACAGATGTAAACCACGATGCACCTTTGAGATAATATCTTTGTGAGGAGAAAGTATTATGTATAAACAGATAACAGGCCTAGTTAGAATCAGCATTTCATCTACAGGTGGAAATGATTTATTTTACAACGGTAATTACCTAAAACTACATCTGTGGTTTTCACTCTAACATTTTTGTATTCTGTATCCCGACCTAACATATACCCTTCATACCCCAGTGCACCACTATCTGCTGTGCAAGCCCATTCACCTATGATGAGAATGACTACCCTCCATTGGTGGAGAATGAGTGACAGATCCACGCTGGGAGAGGTGCCCTGCCTCAGTGGTGAGGAGACCTAAGAAGCTCCCTGGCTACACAGGGACCAGACCAGGGGCTAACCCCTTGGCCTCGTTGCTAACCCCTTGACCACAGCAGAGCTGACCGTTTTGGCTTTGAGCGTAAGTGGTGCTGCAGAGGCAGTGGGTGGAGGAGAATGGCTCCGGCTGCAGTGGTCTGGTCTACAGCGTGGCTCTCTGCTGGCACTGCAATGGTGCTATTTTTCTTCTTCATTTTTTTGGACGATGGCATCGCGGAGAGTGTGAACTCCAGTCCGCCTGACAGCTCATGTCTTCCCCAGCCGAGCATTGACAAGACAGTCAGTTGTTGGCTGGCTGCTCTAAAGTAAATAGGTTATTCAACCCATTAAGTCGACATGGCTACGAGGTGTGAGCAACGCTCCCCTGACTCTCTTCCCCTGATAGGCCATTTGTTTTTCATTTATACAGAGAAAAAAAGAAGGGAAAAAAACTAAAGAGGGAGTTAAGATAGTCCCCGGGGCCCAAGTCTGGCTAATGTGCTGTGGTGCAGCAGAGAGGGAATTAAAACGCATACGGGAGTCGTTTGTCGCTGCAAATCATTGTGTGGTTGCGCTTAAAATGGCCGACATTACTTGATTGATTTGGGGACGTGTTTAGATGCAGGCTTTATCGCGACTCTTGAGGTATTACCCAGATGCTCATGGGTGTTGCTGGGCTTTCTGAAAGATTGGTATGTGTGTGTGTGTGTGTGTGTCTGAACCACACGTGATTCTGAAATACTGTGTGTGATATGGGCTCAGGAATATTTGGGGATATGAATCACATCCAGAGTCTAAGGAGCAGCACTCTCCAGAGCACGGCGGGGGGAGAAAACACGACAAGTGCAAGACATTTTCTACCCTGGTCCCAGCTGTTTCCAATCCTTCGCCAATTTAAAGTACAGTCCCAAACGCCAGAGAGTGATGACCTGTGAGCAAGCCATTGACAGAGTGACAGCATCGAGAGATGGGCAGGTGGAGGAAGAAGAGGAGGAGCAGGGGTGACATAGCCACTTGGCTCGCCTCCTCCGTTATCGGCAGAGAGAGAAAGAGAGGCTCTGTACGTTTGGCAGTCATGGGGGATGGTTGGCCCTGATTTGGGGCCTGTTTCTCCCGCTCCCCCCTGCACTAAAGGCCTGACACTGGCTGCTCTGACAGGCGCGGCCAGCTGCTTTGGACGTCAGCAGACATCAGTGTTAGGCTAATGTGTTTTCAATGTTTTTTCAATGTTTTCTCCGAGTTTGGGGAATGGGGAGATTGCACATTGTAAAATACAGCTGCAACTGGACCCGGAGTAGATAAAGCCTGGTCAAAGTAAAAGCAATTACATGTTGGTATGGTTACTGAATCTATTTTGGTCGGGCAACCTCTCAAGATGCCTTTTTACACCCCATTCACCCATTAAACAGACACACAGACCAACCAAACCATTAACTTAAAATTCACCATAACAGTTCAGTGTATGGCTTATAATTGCGACCAGAAGGCTGTGCAATTATTTCCACATTTACAGTGTGTATCAAAATGCTCCACCTCTATTCAAGATTAGTTTTAGTGTATCGGTACTAAATACAATGAGACTGTCTGAATGGCAACGTAGTTACATCAGAGATAAAGTCATACCATAACAAGATTTTGTGTGTTTGTGTGTATACGTGTAAACGTGTGTGTCTATACACCCTCCTGCAGTTTGGTTACATTGTTCTCCACAATCTCAAAAGGAGACACTGGCTGCATCCGAAATGGCACCCTATCCCCTATGGTCCCTGGTCAAAGGTAGTGCATTATATAGTGAATAGGATGCCATTTCAGACACAGCCAATGACAAATTCTTAACCCATCATGTGATGTGTGAGACTAGACCGCAATCTCGCCACTCGAGGAGAAATGGTGGAGAATATTACATTTCACTGTGCGATGAGGCAATAAGGTCATTAAAGACAGACTTCCAAATTCCTTGCAGAAGACTATGTTTATTCCTTCCTCCTCTTCATACGAGACACCACTCTAACGTTACCACTAACATGAACCTCGAACGTCTGTCTGTGCTGTACCTATTGTTCAAGTAGACAGACTATGAATCATACAACAACCTCCAAAGAGTATGTCTGTCGCCCAGACACATTGAAAAAGGGACATTTTTCCTAACTAAATGGTGTCTCTTTAATTATCCCAGCATTGAACCAGTGCTGCTCTTTGAGCGACTCAGAGAGCTGCAGAAAGGGCCGGCGATCCCGGTTACATTCAATCATGTCCATTGTGACTTCTCCCTGTGAGCCCATAACGCCTGAACGGCCCTGGTTCCAATAGGAGCACAACGGTCCGCAACCCCGTGGGTCACAGAGAACAGAATGGAACTGTTGAAACACGGAACCTAGTTTAGTGCTCCGTGGGGGTGGGTGGGAGACTTTTACAATATGCACCCCCCACAAGAAACGATGACCTCACCTCATGAGGAGAGAGAGCGAGAGAGAGAGAGAGAGAGAGCGAGAGAGAGAGCGAGAGAGAGAGAGCGAGAGAGAGAGAGCGAGCGAGAGACAGCGAGAGCGAGAGAGCGAGCGAGAGACAGAGAGAGCGAGCGAGAGACAGGGAGAGAGAGAACACATGGATGTACTTTTAATAATATCCTTCTTCACTGCTCCTCGGAGGGAATGTTGGCTGACGTCCACAGCTGGGTTTGGGAAGTTTTCCACGTATAATATAAAGTGTTCTGTTGAAATATAGGGATAGTTTACTCTGATCCTGTGTTTTAGGACATTTCCATTTTTCTCTGAAGCTTTGTTGAAAGTTTGAGCATCAATGTTGGCCACAGGACTTAAGATGCAATCTCGCATAGGCCTACTTAATGTTACTCTCTAATGAGCTTCAGACTGTAAACTGACAAACTCACATTAGTCAATCATTTTACTAGAGAACTTGGCCATAAAGTGAACTTTTCATGCACTGTGATTGCAATGGGTATATAATACTGTGGGAATCAACATCAAATTGAATAATGATAATATAATGATAATCCAATTTAATTTTTTTGTTTCTCATTATAAAAAACACAATCAAACGCAAAGCCCCAATGCTCCTAATTGCCCTGCACTGCCAGGCTTCAACAGGGAAGCCATTTTTAATGAACAAAAGACATGAAGCACTTTGAAACCAGGCGAGCCAATTTTTTAAACAGAACACCAACCACTTACCCTCACCTCACTGTCTATGACTGTCAAGTTTTTACAAGGCATGTCATCCACAGTAATGTTAAGATGGCTAGCTCGCTATTAAGCATGACATATATACGACCATCGATGGGAAGGTCTGAAGTGGCTAGTAGATGGACAGAGTGAGAGTGACCATGGCTCTCTGTGTGACAGGAATGTCATATCTGGGAGGCTCCTCTACGGTCCCATTCGTAATGTGCACTCTTGAAGCCTGCGTAAATTGGGGTCTCTGTCTGGGCTTGACAACAAAGCAGCTAAATCAATAATAGCACTTGAGACACGGTCGACTTTGGTCAGACATTAATTCTGCTCCTTCCACTCCAGAGGCCATTACAGATTAAATTATTGTATGTGTGTTGTGTGTGTTTGTGTGTCAAATTAATTCTGCTCCTTTGACTCCAGGGGCCATTACAGATGAAATTATTGTATGTGTGTCGTGTGCGTTTGTTTGTGTCGATGAGTGTTTGAGAGAAAGTCTAAGGAAAATATGTTCAACAAACTGTCAAAAGAAATGACACTGATGATACTTGTGTTTGTGTTGTGTGAAAGCTAAAAACAATGTTTTTTGGGGATTGGGTCACACCCACACCTACTTTGATTATGTATTTTGGTCAGTTTGAGTGTTGCAACACTGATTTTTTACAGGGAGCATCGAAAAGGTGTTTTCCTGCAAACAATAGCCTGGCCAGCTAATTAATCAAATACCCTAGGGCCTGTACAATGTAGTTAATTATACGCCACAAAAAAATCATTTTTTTTCCCCTTTACAGCTTTTGTTTAGACTTGCAAATGGTCTGTGATAAACAGCCCGCAATCAACAGCCTTGCGAGATAGAGGGCTTGATGGACCGGCCATCTCACCAACTCTCCTTGCTCATCCTGAAATCTAAGGGTGCGTCCCAATAATATCTCCTTTCTCATGAAGTGTGCACTCGTTCTTCACACAAATCTAAAAGCATTGGATTAGTGGAGGCAGGGCCAGTGGGAGTTCCCCCCATATTTATTAAACCAGTATTTCCTTTCAAATCAATAAAGGAAGTGAACAAGTGTACACTTTGGGAGAGATACGCAGAGATAATTGGAACGTAGCCTTAAGTTAACTTTCTGATGCAATAATTAAAAGGAACAAATGTGGTGGTCTGACAAGGCATAGGGGATGTGGGATTGTGTGAAATGCATTTGTACGGATTTGAAGCTCTACACTTCCTTTATCTGATGCGGTGGCGAGGCATTAAAACACCAATCTGCTGAGTGACATTAATTCCTGCATTCTGGTTCGCCGTAAAAAGTCTGGTTTTTTCAATTTAAACTGATTCTGCGACTAGGTTTAATTAACTCCAGCATGTAGTAATTTGTATTCTTTGGTAATCCCTTTTATTGTCCGTTTTTCAGACATAAGTTTGTATCTTCTTGCTTGCTCTCTCAGTTCCATTTTCTGTCCCCCTCTCTCTCCCTTTAGCTATCTCTCTCTCTGAACACACGCACACACACACACACACACACACACACACACACACACACACACACACACACACACACACACACACACACACACACACACACACACACACACACACACACACCAGAGCCTCCTATAACTCCCCAGTCTGAAGAGAGGCAGACAGCTACATTCTCTTTTCACCTCTGTCTGGAGTTTATTCCTTCTTGTCATTGGAAGTGAGAAGTAAGTGCTTTATTTATTGACGTTTTTTGTAATAACCCCGGGGATAAGCTGGATACTCATGGAGCGCTGATGCGTGGATGTTAGTGTGGGGAGGACAGGTGTTTGGGTGTGTCTGTGTGTGTGTGTGTGTGTGTGTGTGTGTGTGTGTGTGTGTGTGCGGGAGGGATTAAATTTTTGCCAAGGGCACGGACACCAGTAATCCTTACTCTGTTGTAGTAAATACCTTCAGATTGAGAAGAAAAAAAAACATCCAGCAAAGCTAGTAGGACGACTCCCTCTGGCTCTCAGTCGGTGATATGCAGCCCCTCCTCCTACCCTCCTCCTCTTTCTTCACTCTCTCTCTCTTCCTTGTCTCTTTCTCTTTCCCTCTGTGTTTTTATCTATATCTGTGACAACGCTTGAATGATGAGTAACCAGAAGGCCTAGTCCTTAGCTCGGCAGGCTAACATAGTCTATGATAGTGAAATCATGATATCATGGGAGCCTTGCTTACCTGCAGTGTACCACCATGGGCCCTGCATCTGGGGGGTTACAGGCTTTGACCCGTCTGAGGAAGGCCAGGAACGGAGTTGGGTGCTCGGGTACCCCGTGGTCCGGCCAGGCCGTGAACTGGAACTGCCTCACCTCTCTCTTCTCACTGGAACCATTCTGATAGATAGAGGGGAAGTAGGCTATACATGGGTAGAACACACATTGGGCGACATTTTGAACAGCAGCGATAATACTTCAATACCTTGAGGAGGTGTGGTCCCTCATCTCAACCACACCTACTGGCCCGTGGATAGGGTTATCAGTTTCATTCAGACCCAAATTGGGTGTCTGACTTCCGGGTGAAATAAAGGTTAAATTAATTATGAAGAAATCAAACGTACTTTATAAAGTGCAAAGGTCCTGACACAGTATGTGGCCAGCTCCACCGTGTCCAACAGCGTCACCTGGATGAGGCCGTAGGTCTCCGTCCCTCTAGTGGGCCAGTACTGGTCACATTTCACCTGGGATTGATAGAAAAACGTCACATTAGACAACTGGTTTGGTCACAACTTCTAACTCTCTCTAACCAGTTTCCAATATACAGAGGCATCATTGCACCTACTATTGTTGAGAGGGAACTAATGACCAACTTTGCTTTGCTTGAATTATGAGTCAAATAACCAATATCTGCTATATTTTCAGTGTACAAATAATTAATCTGAGAGGGTCTGTGCCCCCCTTAATTTCAATGGGCAGGACTCCCCTGCTACACATCCCCAACAACTGTTGAATCACAATAACGTTCTGATCCGATCTGATCCTCAATGCTCCATTTCTTCCCTCTAACTCTCCGAATCACTGTCTGAGATAGAATAGACCCTAATAGACATAACTGGCAAATACTCATCCAGCTTCATAAAGGAAAGTCAATGCAAGGCAAACAGGGAAGCGAGGCTGCCAAGTCTTTCCTACGCTGCTGTGCTGACTTGTGTGATTTCACAATGGAGGGAACAGGCCCAGCTAAGACATTCCACTGAAGCCCGACAGTGCTATTTGTTAGCCTGACAGGCTCTATAATTACAATCTTAACCGCAGTTTTCCAATCACATTACAGGCACAGGTTTATTATGATTATAGCGTTTCTGTTGCCCAGCGAACAGCCAATAAAACACTACTTCCATTACAGTATTATCGTTTCGTTGCCAAAGGGAAGCACAGTGAACTCGAAGAGTCCTTATGCAGATGCCTTACCTCATACACTATAACACCCTCATCTTACATACAATGGAAGCTTATATATTGCTGCTGAAACTCAATTGAGACAACTATCTAAAAGATCAATACAGAAGATGGGGGCATTAGTTAGCAACAAAATTAAGCATATTACATCATCAAAATCAAATCAAATCAAATCAAATTTTATTGGTCACATGCGCCGAATACAACAGGTGCAGACATTGCAGTGAAATGCTTACTTACAGCCCTTAACCAACAGTGCATTTATTTTAAACAAAAAAAGTAAGAATAAAACAACAACAACAAAAAGTGTTGAGAAAAAAAGAGCAGAAGTAAAATAAAGTGACAGTAGGGAGGCTATATATACAGTAAAATAAAGTGACAGTAGGGAGGCTATATATACAGGGGGGTACCGTTGCAGAGTCAATGTGCGGGGGCACCGGCTAGTTGAGGTAGTTGAGGTAATATGTACATGTGGGTAGAGTTAAAGTGACTATGCATAAATACTTAACAGAGTAGCAGCAGCGTAAAAAGGATGGGGTGGGGGGGCAGTGCAAATAGTCCGGGTAGCCATGATTAGCTGTTCAGGAGTCTTATGGCTTGGGGGTAGAAGCTGTTGAGAAGTCTTTTGGACCTAGACTTGGCACTCCGGTACCGCTTGCCGGTACCGTGTCAAACATGACGCTAAAGCTTGACAAAGGTCTATGAGGCAGCTTTTGTATGTTTTCACAAAGCTATGAGTCATTCTTATGTGATACTTGATTATCTAAAGCAACTAACAACTAGAACCAGACAATGGTCAAAACATGCACTTGGGTCTACAATATACAGTGCCTTCAGAAAGTATTCATACCCCTTGACTTATTCCACATTTTGTTTTGTTACAGCCTGAATTCAAAATGAATTACATAAATGTTCTATAATGACAAAGTGAAAACATATTTTTCAATTTCTTTGCTAATTTATTGCAAATTAAATACTGAAATATCTCATTTACATAAGTATTCACACCCCTGAGTCAATACTTTGTCAATCACCTTTGGCAGCGATTACAGCTTTGAGTCTTTCTGGGTAAGTCTTTAAGTGTTGATCATTGCTAGACAACCATTTTCAGGTCTTGCTATAGATTTTCAAGTAGATTTAAGTCAAAACTGTAACTCGGGCCACTCAGGAACATTCACTGTCATCTTGGTAAGCAAGGTTATTGTCCTGTTGAAAGGTGAATTAATCTCTCAGTGTCTGGTGAACCAGGTTTTCGTCTAGGATTTTGCCTATGCTTAGCTCCATTCTGTTTTATCCTGAAAAACTCCCCAGTCCTTAACGATTACAAGCATACCCATAACATGATGCAGCCACCACTATGCTTGGAAATATGGAGACAGGTACTCAGTAATGTGTTCTATTGGATTTACCAATATTGCTTTGCCACATTGCTTTGCCACATTTTGTTGCAGTATTAATTTAGTGCCTTGTTGCAAACAGGATGCATGTTTTGGAATATTTTTATTCTGTACAGGCTTATTACTTATTTTCACCCTGTCATTTAGGTTACTATTGTTGAGTAACTACAATGTTGTTGATCCATCCTCAGTTTTCTCCTATCACAGCCATTAAACTCTGTAACTGTTTTAAAGTCACCATTGGCCTCATGGTGAAATCCCTGTGCGGTTTCCTTTCTCTCCGGCAACTGAGTTAGGAAGGACACCTGTATCTTTTTAGTGACTGGTTGTATTAATACACCATTCAAAAGGTGCCCTTATTTGTAAGGCATTGAAAAACCTCCCCAGTTTTTGTGGTTGAATCTGTTCTTGAAATTCACTACTCGACTGAGGGATTTTACAGATAATTGTATGTGTGGGGTACAGAGATGAGGAGGTCATTCAAAAATCATGTTAAACACTATTATTGCACACAGAGTCCATGCAACTTATTATGTGATTTGTTAAGCACATTTTTACTCCTGAACTTATTTAGGCTTGCCATAACAAAGTGGTTCAGCTTTTAATTTTTTTGTAATTTGTAAAAAATCTCGAAAAACATCATTCTACTTTGACATTATGGGGTATTGTATGTAGGCCAGTGACAAAAATCTAAATGTAATCAATTTTAAATTCAGGCTGTAACACAACAAAATGTGGAAAACATAAAGGGGTGTGAATAATTTCTGAAGGCACTGTAAGCTAACGAAGAGTAAAAGCAATCCATTCACAACATCTATTCAGACAGTTCTACCAGGTAATACAGTAAAAATGTAAGGTGGAATACATGGAATTGGTCTCCTCTTGAGAGAGCTTTGTAAACAAGTAGTTAACGATCTTTAGAGGAGGAATCGTGTGAAACTTGTAACTTGTGGAGACCATGCAGTCTTTGTTTCTTTGTGATTTCAAACATACATAAGAGACCTTGCAGTGCCAGAGCCAAAGTGTGTGTCTTTTAACCTTGAAAGAGTGACAGGTGCTGTGTGCTTGGTTCTTGTACCGAGTGACTGACATTTTAGCATTAGCAACAAATTCAGCTATAGCTTAAAGCGGTGCTGCTGGCTAACCTAGTGACCATGCGACTAATTACAATAACAGTATAGCATCACTAATACTAAAAAGAACAAAAGGGAAAGTCATGTTGTGGCAAATAAGTGAGTGAGTGACATCCATTGGAAACAGAATGCAAGATGTCTTGCCTTAGAGAAGAAATATGAGGGCATCTGAAGGAACATGACACAAAACACACACAAAAATAGGAACACAGAATGAAAGGAGGAATGGGGAGATCTAGGAAAATGTTAAATCAGGTATTTGCATCATAGAAGCAAATGGATAGCCATGATGAGTCTTGGGTTGGGCTATGACGTTGCTGTTTCAATGAAGCTTGGAAGTAAACGATGGAAAGTAGGCTAATTAAATTGCACCTAATTTGGAATCTGAAATTATATTCCAGCATGTTTGCTTTACAGACCACATACAATGATATCAAAATGTAGATGCCTGAAGTAGAATATATAACGATGACATAATTCAATTTAGACTTTTTCTACTTTACAAATTCAATGATATGACACGTGTGCCATATATTTAAAATGTACTGTCGTAGAATTACTCCATTTTGTTTCAGCGACCATGACTAATGTCATGGTAGGATAAAATGGACCTGTGTAACAGACCTAGACCTGTGCATGACAATCAAATGCATAATGAATCCCATAGGGCTGATTCCAGATCTGTGCTTACCCTGGATCTCTCCTCCAGTTTGGTCATCATGACGATGTTGGCACTCCGCTGTTCCCAGATCATCCTCCAGAAGTCACCAAACGTCTCGGGCAGCGAGCCCTGCGTGGCGATGTACGCATTCTGCTTCCTGTAGCCGTCGATGTAGTTGGAATTGATGTAATCACTTCCAGGGATACCTGGGAAAGATGAGGGAAAGTGATTAGAATGGATGGTGTCTGGTTGGGGGGGTTTGGAGGGGGGCGAGTGGTGTGTGTGTGTGTACATATGTGTGTGGGGTCTGTATGTGGAGAGTGATTAACTTTGGTTGTATGACAAACAGGGAAAAAATGATGAGCGACACATAACAGTGGCTTTGGCTTTGATTGGGATCAATAACGTTAGTCCATCCACTAGCAGGTACTGTGAAAGGTGAAGTCCCATTCTGCTAGTGCTTAGAGGTTCAGACCCCTGCTAGTCCCACTCAATACCTTGAGTTGTTTTGACAGTGAACGACACTTAATCCTGACTGAGTTCTTTCTAACTAAAAGGGCACAACTCCAGAGTTAGTTTACTCAGCCAGGAACTACCCAGGCATACAGTCTAAGGCTACTGTGTTTTTCATTTAAGCTTTGCCATTGTGTGCCTTTTGTGTCATCTATCCATACAAAATGGCTGCCTACTAGTTGAAATACTGTGTCAATTGTTATCATACTCTTGAATGTAACGTTGATGATTGCAAAAATAGCATTTCCTCTATCTACAGTGAAACTTCAAAGCGGCGATAAAGTTTGGCTTTGAAAAACGCCTCCTTCCCACCTCTCCCCTCAACCTCACAGACAGAAAAATAAACACGAAACCAGGCAAAACTGTTTTTCTTCCACTGCCGCCTCCTACTCTCCTCTTTTTTCACTGGTTGCTAAATGAAAGCACTTTTTTATTTTTTTTCAATCCGGGGAGAGGCGAAGACGGAGCTGACAGCTAGTCAATGCTTCGGGACTGGCAGTTGGGGGCCCAGCGCACACATGGTCTACCAAGATAAGTCTCATCTGCATGGATGCCACGTTTCCATAGCCAGCCGCCCATGCTCCAACTCTCCCCCCTTTCATCCACCCCTCCCTTTTTCTCCCAGGTAACTTATTCGGTGCAAAAAAAAGAAAAGACTAGAAAAGAAAATGTGCGCTCATTCAAAACCCGACATTTCTTACCCGTCTTTTTTCTCCCTCCCCTCCTTTTACCTGCTAAACCCTTTCGTGCAGCCGTTGCCTGGCTGTATATTTCCATAATGGACAAGGGATAAAGACAATTAAGCCCCCAGCTTTCAAAATGAAAGGGACGTGCAAGGAAAAAGAGACATTATTATGGTTTAATGAAAACAAGACAGTGTCTGGAAGCATATTTGGTTTCTCTGCAGATGGCCGGAGTGTCACTCAGGATTTGTGCGAAACACAGCCATCTGCTTGCAAGACTTTCAATACCGTTATCAAGAAAGAAACACAACTAATAATATGGTGCAGATATCAAACTTACTGGCAAACAATCGAAGAAAATAATAATTGGCAACGTGTCCTAAAAAAGGCTAAAAGTGGCATGTGTGGTAGGAATTTTTATGGTTATCCATTTTACGAGGCATAATCCATACTGAAGTAACTTTTGGTAAAAGTCCTCTTTTAGAGTTCTATGCTGGCCATTACATCATCGACCTGCCTTCACGATTTATGACGGTATCATAACTTTCCAACAATTGGAGAATAACCAGTATACCTGGACATTAAAAGCTCCTCGATCAAGCACAGACAACCGTAATTAGGTTATGTTGTGATTTCTCAATTTTAGCTGCACTGACCTTTTGAGAAACAGCTGGCCAGTGACTCACGTTGGTCCACTTTGAACTGCGTCTCAACTGAGTTAAAAATAGAGTCCAGGGACAGTTTTGGAGCAGAGTATAGTGGAAAACTGACTATACAGATGTTTGCTTACATAACGTGCATTCATCTGGTGAGGAATGTTACAATGAAAGGAGACAAATTTTGATGAATGGTTCGGAGTTCAAAGTGAGGGGAGACACATAGGTTGCCCAACTAAAGCCCTGTGGCAGCGTACAAAGGACTAAATAAAGTGGTATTCATGTCTGGCTTAAGGCACACAACTATAACAACATGTTATGATGCTAAATGTGTTGTGTCAGTTACAATCATCTGACATGACTGTTTATGACATCTGTTATAACACTATCATGACTTTGTTATATGGGCCTATAACGACAGAGGGTTCAAGTTAAGTGTCACCCAATTCCCCTCTATATAGTCAACGCTAATAGCCTACCACACACTTTACCACACATCAGGGGATTCCAAAAGCACCCGAGGAAAAAGTCCTCCATTACAATCCCGACAGTCAGTCGCTAGCTTGGTGAGCTACTTAAACAGACATGTCCCTTACGCCAAAAGAACTAAATCAAAGAAGTCCTGGTTGCCAAAGGCTTTGTTTGGAGCTCCAGGGGGAAGTCCCACAAGCCTGTCTGGCAGAGTAGCGGTTTCCTCCCTCACGAAGGCTTCGATGTGAGTGTACAGATGTGTGTTTATGGCTAGTTAATGGGGTCCATCAACACTCTCAGCTGCATGGGTTTTTCTGGGAGACTGCAAAGGGACTCTGAATGTCTTTATTTATCAGTTTTCTTCCCATTAGCATCCATTTACTGCCTTGGGAGAGTCAGTTTGTTTATGTGTTTTTTCAATGTTTTCTCTCTATGGGAAATATTCAAATGGAGTAGGTTAATTAGTATGTAGTCTATGTTTGTGTGACTGTGTGTGTGCGCGTGTAACAAATAACCGTTACCCAAAAGTCCATGACCGTCACAGCCCTAGATACCATAGCTTAATGTATGCTAGTACTCCTAGAGCACAGAACACAGTGGTACTGTATAGAAGCAGACTGTCACTCGACAGTCAATTCAAGGCAAGGGGAGAGCTGCTTACCGTCAATAGCCGATAGCAGGACTCTGGAGTGGTCGTATGCTATCACGTTAGCATATCTGTTCTTTGGTTTGTTGACTTCCAGGTTGGAGTGTTCCCACGTGAACTGCTGCCCGGGATCGATGGACTGCAAGTAGAGAGAGATTATATTCATTACTTTCCTTCATCACTTACAGTAGTATATTTTGCCCAATACCACCATTTAGCTCCATTTCCCAGACAAGGACTATGGATTCAAACTAGGATCAATAATTCAGAGGATTAGCAAAAAAGCTATTTTGCAGCACTGTGTAGATTCACATTTAAAGGGATAGTTCACCCAAATTACAAAAGTACATATTGGTTCAGATCCTCAAAAAGTTCTACAGCTGCACCATTGAGAGCATCTTAACTGGCTGCATCACCTCTTGGTATGGCAACTGCTTGGCATCCGACCACAAGGCACTACAGAGGGTTTACGTACAGCCCAGTACATCACTGGGGCAAAGCTCCCTGACATCCGGGACCTCTATACCAGGCGGTGTCAGAGGAAGGCCCTAAAAGTTGTCAAAGATTCAAGCCACCCAAGTCATAGACTCTTCTCTCTGCTACCGCATGGCAAGCGGTACCGATGCACCAAGTCTGGAACTAACAGGACCCTGAACAGCTTCTACCCCCAAGCCATAAGACTGCTAAGTAGTTCATTAACTAGTTAACCAATAGCTACCCGGACTATCTGCATTGACCCTTTTTGGTCTTTTGACTCATCACATACGCTGCTGTTACTGTTTATTATCTATCCTGTTGCCTAGTCACTTTATCCCTACCTATATGTACATATCTACCTCAATTACCTTGTACCCCTGCACATGGACTCTGTACCCTTGTGTATTTATTCCTCGTGTTATTATTATTATTTGTTTATATTTTTCGCTCTCTGCATTGTTGGGAAGGGTCTGTAATGTTAGTCTACACCTGTTGTTTACGAAAGCATGTCACAAATACAATTTTATTTTATTTGGTTTACATGCCCTGTAAGCAGTATATGGACAAGGTATGACAACAATCAATGCTTTGGTTTTGTTTAGCTGGCCACTGTCTCCAAATTCTAATGTTTTAGTATTTGTGGCACAAAGTCAATGTTGGTAGAGCATGGCGCTTGCAACGCCAGGGTTGTGGGTTCGTTTCCCACGGGGGGCCAGTATGAAAAAAAGTATGAAAATGTATGCACTCACTAACTGTAAGTCGCTCTGGATAAAAGCGTCTGCTAAATGACTAAAATGTAAAATGTAAGTCAATATCCACGATATATGTCATTTTATAATTGGGGGGAACTATCCCTTTAAGCTTGACAGTATTTAAACTCTTTAGGAATCTCCGTTTGAAACTCTAGGCCTGTGTAAGACGGCCTTAACAACTATTTTCCAACTCATCCAGGGTTATTTTGACATGTAGCTTAACAGACATTTTGTGTAAGTGACAAGCGCTGTTAAATTTAGCTGTCCCAAGGCTGGCTGGCGCATTCTATCGGCATCATTCCATCAGTTTCCAATAATATGCTCAAATGTATGTACAGTACACTGGTCAGTCGGGTTATGAAATGGAGTGGAGGAGGGACACCTCCATTATCCAACCCATAAATATACTGTACATTTCTTCCACCCCCCCATGTCAAAGTATTTGACCTCATATAGCTGACAAGCAGTGGGTATACAAATATAGTATGCTACATACTGTACTCCAGCACTTTGGATTTGAAATGATACAATGACTATGAGGTTAAAGTGCAGACTGTCAGCTTTAATTTGAAGGTATTTTTATCCATATCGGGTGAACTGTTAAGAAATTACTACTATTTGTACATAGTCCCCCCATTTTAGGGGACCAAAAGTATTGGGACAAATTCACTTATACAGTGCCTTCGGAAAGTATTCAGACCCCTTTACTTTTTCTACATGTTGTTACGTTACAGCCTTATTCTAAAATGGATGTAAACAATTGAAATATACAGCAATCTACAAACAATACTCCATAATGACAGAGCAAAAACAGGTTTTTAGAAATGTTTGCAAATTTATAAAATATTAAAAACAGAAATACCTTATTTAAATAAGTATTCAGACCCTTTGCTATGAGACTCGAAATTGAGCTCAGGTGCATCGGTTTCCATTGATCATCCTTGAGATGTTTCTACAACTTGAGTCCACCTGTGGTAAATTCAACTGATTGGACATTATTTGGAAGGGCCCTCCTGTAGCTCAGTTGGTAGAGCATGGTGCTTGCAACGCCAGGGTTGTGGGTTCGATTCCCACGGGGGGCCAGTATGAAAAATGTATAAACTCACTAACTGTAAGTCGCTCTGGATAAAAGCGTCTGCTAAATGACTAAAAATGTAAAAATGTATATAAGGTCCCACAGTTGACAGTGCATGTCAAAGCAAAAACCAAGCCATGAGGTCAAAGGAATTGTCCGTAGAGCTCCGAGACAGGATTGTGTCAAGGCACAGATCTGGGGAAGAGTACCAAAAAATGTCTGCACCATTGAAGGTCCCCAAGAACACAGTGGCCTTCATCATTCTTAAATGGAAGATGTTTGGAACCACCAAGACACTTCCTAGAGCTTGCCTGCCCGGCCAAACTGACCAAGAACCTGATGGTCACTCTGACAGAGCTCTAGAGTTCCTCTGTGGTGATGGAAGAACCTTCCAGAAGGACAACCATCTCTGCAGCACTCCACCAATCAGGCCTTTATGGTAGAGTGGCCAGACAGAAACCACTCCTCAGTAAAAGGCACATGACAGCCCACTTGGAGTTTGCCAAAAGGCAGCTAAAGAATATTTGATGCTGTAATCGCTGCCAAAGGTGCTTCAACAAAGTACTGAGTAAAGGGTCTGAATACTTATGTAAATGTGATATTTCAGTTTTTCTAAAAACCTACAATTTATTGAAACTTGATTTTTGCTTTGTCATTACTGGGTATTGTGTGTAGATTGATGAGGGGAAAAAATGATGTAATCAATTTTAGAATAAGGCTGTAACGTAACAAAATGTGAAAGGGGGTCTGAATACTTTCTGAATGCACTGTATGTGTATTAAAGTACTCAAAAGTTTAGCATTTCGGCCCATATACTCTACACACTTGTTGGATGCATTTGCTGTGTTTCAGTCTATTTTGTGCCCAATTGAAATGAATGGCAAATTATGCATTGGGACATTTGGGAGTCACTTTTATTGTAACTAAGAATAGAATGTGTTTCTACAATTTTATTACGTTAAGGTGGATGCTACCATGATTACGGATAGTCCTGAATGAATAGTGAAAAATTATGAGTGAATGTTTTAGACACATACCGCTAAGACATGCTACAGTCTCACTATTACAATAACAGGGGAGGTTAGCACTTTTTGTGTCTGTAACTTTCTCACTCATCATTATTCACGATTCATTCAGAACTATCTGTAATCATGGTAGCATCCACCCTAATGTAGAAGTGTTTAGAAACATATTATATTCTTATTTACAATAAAAGTGCCTCCAAAATGGCACAATACATTATTTACCATTAATATCTATTGGGCACAAAATAATCTGAAACACAACCAAAACAAACAACAAATGCATCCAACAAGTTTTTAGAGTCATTGCGTGCTTACAATATTGGACCAAATACTAAACTTTTGACTACTTTAATACACATAAGTTAATTTGTCCCAATAGTTTTGGTCCCCTAAAATGGGGGGACTATGTACAAATAGTAGTCATTTCTTAATGGCTCACCTGATAAGGATGAAAATATCCTAAAATCTGCACTTTAACCTCAGTCATTGTATCGTTTCAAATCCAAAGTGCTGGAGTACGGAGCCAAAAACAACAAAACATTTGTCACTGTCCCAATACTTTTGGAGCTCACTGTAGATAAAATCGTACCTAAGCTCAGCATGTGCGACCACAATGAAGTTGAGTTCAATCGCATGCCATTCTGAATTACTCTTTAAAAGTAGAATGCTTTCACTTGGCATGCCCATATACCAATATTACACAATAAAGCCTTGCGATCTGTAGAGCGGCCTTTTGCATCCCCTTCAATGGTCCAAATGTGGAATCCGTACCCTTACCAATATCATGGACAGTAATAGTTTGAGAACATTCCAAGATTTGAAAGATACATACACATTACCAGGCAACTTCCGTCATATACAGTGGGGAAAAAAAGTATTTAGTCAGCCACCAATTGTGCAAGTTCTCCCACTTAAAAAGATGAGAGAGGCCTGTAATTTTCATCATAGGTACACGTAAACTATGACAGACAAAATGAGAAAAAAAATTCCAGAAAATCACATTGTAGGATTTTTAATGAATTTATTTGCAAATTATGGTGGAAAATAAGTATTTGGTCACCTACAAACAAGCACGATTTCTGGCTCTCACAGACCTGTAACTTCTTCTTTAAGAGGCTCCTCTGTCCTCCACTCGTTACCTGTATTAATGGCACCTGTTTGAACTTGTTATCAGTATAAAAGACACCTGTCCACAACCTCAAACAGTCACACTCCAAACTCCACTATGGCCAAGACCAACGAGCTGTCAAAGGACACCAGAAACAAAATTGTAGACCTACACCAGGCTGGGAAGACTGAATCTGCAATAGGTAAGCAGCTTGGTTTGAAGAAATCAACTGTGGGAGCAATTATTAGGAAATGGAAGACATACAAGACCACTGATAATCTCCCTCGATCTGGGGCTCCACGCAATATCTCACCCCGTGGGGTCAAAATGATCACAAGAACGGTGAGCAAAAATCCCAGAACCACACGGGGGGACCTAGTGAATGACCTGCAGAGAGCTGGGACCAAAGTAACAAAGCCTACCATCAGTAACACACTACGCCGCCAGGGACTCAAAACCTGCAGTGCCAGACGTGTCCCCCTGCTTAAGCCAGTACATGTCCAGGCCCGTCTGAAGTTAGCTAGAGTGCATTTGGATGATCCAGAAGAGGATTGGGAGAATGTCATATGGTCAGATGAAACCAAAATAGAACTTTTTGGTAAAAACTCAACTCGTCGTGTTTGGAGGACAAAGAATGCTGAGTTGCATCATACCTACTGTGAAGCATGGGGGTGGAAACATCATGCTTTGGGGCTGTTTTTCTGCAAAGGGACCAGGACGACTAATCCG